TCTCCAACCGACTACCAGTTCTTCAAGCTTCTCAGCAACTGTTTGCAGGGAAATCACTTCCACGATCAGCAGAGTGCAGAAGGTGCTTTCCAAGAGCTCCTCGAACCCCGAAGCACGGAGTTTTACGCTACAGGAATAAACAGACGTATTTCTCATTGGCAAAATCGTTGGTTGTAGTGGTTCCTATTTCTGTTAATAAAGACGTGTTTGAGCCTTGTTATGATGATTTAAAACTCACAGTCCAAAACCTCAGTTACTTTTGCATAAATCTAATACTTTTGGAGCTTAAATTCCCTAACCCTCTGATCTCAGGAGGCACTGGTTTCATTACATGTTAGGCTTTGGAGTTTGGCAAACAATGTGGCCAGTGTTTGCGTCCCTGCTCCTGAGGCTTGTCAGATGACCCGCAGAGCCTTTTAGGGAGGCAGGAATACACCTGACTCTGGGAGAACTCATCAGAGTAATAACCCAATCAATGAAACTGACTTTAAAAAAGTAGACGCATAGGGATCAGCAGTTAGCGTAATGGCTATGTTGCTGAAGTCCCATGTAGCCGACCGTGGTTCGAGTCCCGGACCCGGTGGCATAAACTCACGCCGGGTACGTGTGCATGCGTGACCAAGATCCCGAGAGGAGAATGGAGGAGAAGGGATTGCGGCGTTGCCATCCCCCCTGGGGAGGGGGCAATTTCTCGCTTTTTATCTCTCTCTCTGGTGAGCTCATGCACCCTATAGCAAAAACCTCTTAAAAAAAAAAAAAGTAGACGCACACATAGACAAGCATGTACATACACACGTGCTGCTGAGATGTTTTTGCCCCACAGAGAGGGCTGCCCGCGGCGTCAGGTCCGAGGGTGCTCGATAAGGAAACGTTGATGGGGATCGCACAGCTGTCTGGTACCTTCCCAGGAAGCTATCCATACCCCACCCGGGCACTACATCGGACACCGCTCCTAGCTTTCATCTGCAGCACAAATGTTTGCTACATAGCAGAAAATACATTTTGGGGGGACTTTGATTTATTGCCAGCCCCAGAGGAAAGGGGAAAAAAGATTAAAGAGTAATTTAGTAAAGAGCAGAATCCTTTCTGGCGAAAATCAGTTATTGCTGTATTTGCCGTGACACAGGGCTTCTGGAATGGGAGCCAGGAAGGCCCAGAGGAAAACAGTTTATTGCTTTATTGTGAGGCTTGAATCCCAGAGCTGGTAGGGGCCAAGGCCTAGAGGAAAAGATCACCCTCTTTGTCATCTGTTTATGGGTAGGGGACTCCCATTAGACACTTGAAGGAGAGAAAGGCCCCGCATTAGATGGTGAAAAACTGAAATTCAGAGAAAATGAGGCCAGTGTAGGTCAGCATCAGTGGAGCTGGATTTTATGGCCACGGCTGTGCTCTTTTCGTGGCCACATGCGCTCTCTGTGTAACTTTGAGCAGGTCCCTGGGCCTCTCTGGGAACCAGGTGTTCTCTAGCTATGACTGACAGTGAGGTTCCCTTGCAGAGCTGGCATTGGGGGGTTCCCTGCTTCTGGTGGGCCTGCACAGAGGCGGGCAGTGAACGCAGGAGCAGTGGGCCCACTTTTCCAGCGGAGAGTCGTCAGCGTTGTCCTGCCGGAGAAGAAAAGAGCACGTGGGCTGGGCATCCCTGCTGTCAGCTTTCTCTCCGGGAAGCACCCTGCCTGGGCCTCTGTGAGCTCCGATTCCCAGGGTCTGCTTAGGGTGATGGCCTGCAGGAACTGGTGCTAAGTTGACCCAGTGTAAACTGCTTACTGGTCTGTCTTTGTTCTCCTAGTTGTGTTCTTTTGCAGAGGCAAGAAATAAGGAGCGGGCACAGGGCCCATTGTAATGCAATAGCTCTCAGCTTCCAGGTGGCTCCGTGGTGG